AAGAAAAAAAAAAAAAAGAAAAAAAGAAAAAAGAAAAAAAAAGGAATTAAGCCCCTTTGCCAGAGCAGGCAGCTGCATGCTCATGCGACTCTGAGGACCCCGTGTTCACCGGGGTCAACCCGGGTATTCAACTTTTTTTTAATATAATTATTTTATTAATTTAATACTTAAAATGTAATTTTCTTTTATATTTTCGTCCCACTTTAGTGAATCATCCACTTAGTCAACTTTTTCTAGAAAAAAAAAAAATCATTTATTTTTCCTCTCTCCTCTCTCTCTCCTCTCCCCTCTCTCCTTCTTTCTGCTACTTTCCGGTCTGTTTTCACTTTTTACAGAGCCTCTCATCCCCTTCTCTTGTTCCTTTCTTCTTTCTTCTTTTTTTCTTTTCTTCCTCCTTCTTACTTCTCCGTCGGTTTATTCTTTCTTCTCTAAAAGAGCTCGCCGATTCGGGTGGGGACGGTCATAGTCGGTGAGATTCTGCCCGCCGTTCCTCCTCCAGGGCTGTGGTTGTGCGTGACGCTTTCCGGCGCTAGCCCATCGAGTTTTCCACCACTCCCCAAATTGTAATTCCTCTAGATTTTATTTTTTCCGCTTTTGTGCGTTGCATATTCCTGTCCATTACCTGCGATTGGATCGGTAATAGGGGTTTAATTTTGTGCTTTTTGGGCTTATTAATTATTCGTCGTCTTTGCTTCTTTTTCCTTGATGGTTCTCGAATATTTCTATTGCAACTCATTCGGAAACAAACGATTCTGCAGATCGATTTCTCTCTCCTCCTTTACAGTTTACAGCTATGTGAATCCAGTGTGCATCTTATTAATTTATACAATGCAAAAATAATGCCCTCCGCCCCTAATGAATCTCCGGCCCAAACTCAGATCGCCGCCCCTTACCGCCCTCTCTATCCCGTCTCCACCCACATCACCACTGCCATACAGCAGTAAAAGCCTACTTACGAAAATGCCCCGTAAATCTCTACTAAGACCCACTCTTGTCCTCGCCTTCCTCTCCCTGTTTGCCCTATACTCCTTCCTCTTCTACAATCCTCCCAATTATAACACTAATACGTCAATTAATTTAGACAATCGCAGTTTTCTTTCGGTTGCTGATAATAAGAAGGTGAAAATATACATGTATGATCTGCCTAGGAGATTTACATACGGGGTGATTGAGAGTTATGCGGAGGCGCGTGGAGGAGAAACCGTGGGGAGCGACGCGCTGCTCAAGTATCCTGGGAATCAGCACTCAGCCGAGTGGTATTTATTTTCCGATTTGAATCGTCCTGGTGACCAACGGATCGACTCGGCTCTGACTCGGGTCATGGACCCGGAAGAAGCCGACCTTTTCTACGTGCCCTTTTTCTCTTCATTGAGTCTCGTCGCCAATCCGATCCGATCAGCCACTGTGAACGTCTCTCCTAACAGGACAGTTTACAATGATGAGCAAACCCAGGTATTTGTAAAATTTTAATTGTTTACTTATACAAAGTTATCATACCAAGGGTTGTTTTGAACCAAATATTGTTTGCTAAAATCTATGATCTTTAGGTTATTTATATTTGATAATATGCCAAGGAACAACTTTGCCCACTGATTCATTCATAGTTCTGTATTAGAAATGCTCTTGAACTCTACTGGATCATTTATTGTGTTCACTTATTTTGACTGACATTCTCTATGCAAGAAGCAAAATATTTCATCCAAGTCTGTGGTTGATGTAGGAGGCTTTGATGGAGTGGTTGGAAGAACAAGTGTATTGGAAGAGAAATAATGGGTGGGATCATGTATTTATATGTCAGGATCCTAATGCTTTGTATAAGATCATTGATAGGGTGAAGAATGGGGTGCTATTAGTTTCAGATTTTGGGAGGTTGGGTGCCAATCAAGCATCCCTAGTGAAGGATGTGATTCTACCATATTCACACCGAATTAATTCATACAAAGGAGAGATTGGCCTGGAAAATCGCAAGTCCCTCTTGTTCTTTATGGGAAATCGATACCGAAAAGAGGTAATATTCAGACTTTTCTTTTCCGTTGATGGTATGCATAGCATGGTAATATTTGGACTTTTCTTTTTGCCGAACCCTGTTCTATGTCACCATTTACATGGAGCTGTTTTAATTGTGGTGTACAGGGTGGTAAGATTAGAGATATGCTTTTCCAAGTTCTTGAGAACGAACAAGAAGTTATTATAAAACACGGGGCACAGTCTAGGGAGAGTCGCCGTATGGCATCACAAGGAATGCATACATCAAAGTTTTGTTTGCATCCAGCTGGCGACACTCCATCAGCTTGCCGGCTTTTTGACGCTATTGTAAGTTTATGTGTTCCTGTAATTGTGAGCGACTACATTGAGTTGCCTTTTGAAGATGTCATAGACTATAGAAAGATTGCCATTTTCCTCGACACCTACACTGCTGTTAAACCTGGAAGCTTGGTAAAATTGCTGAGAAAAGTGACTCCGGAGAGGATTTTGGAATTCCAAAAGGAATTGAAAAAGGTACATTTTCTGTACGTATAATTGACTTGAGTTTGAATTGAGTATTATTATCCAAATTCGTTTTTTGGTGCAATTCATTCAGGTAAAGAGGTACTTTGAGTACGAAGAAGCAAATGGGACAGTGAAAGAGATATGGCGCCAAGTTTCACTAAAGCTGCCTCTTATTAAACTTATGAGTAACCGCGACAAACGGATTGTGCTGCGGGACTTGACACAGCCAGATTGTTCATGTCTCTGTTCAAACCACTCAGGAGTACACACAACACTATGATATTTTCCTTTAGAGTTTAATTTTCTTTTTGTAGACTAGAATATTTGTATTTGCCTCGAGATAATGTGCAACGTTTCTTTATACATATTCATTATCATTTATCAACAATATCTGGGTTTAGCTGTTTATCTTTCTTTTTTTGGGTTACATTCTTTTTGTAATTGTTTTACGATTGTTTTTTTTTTTTTTTTTTTTTGTTTTTTGATAAATAGTTACACGAAACTCCCTTTAATCTTTTCATCTTCACTTGTGAGCTAAAGTTATGGCCGAAAATGTGAGTTGTAGGAGGTGATGTATTTGTATTCGTCATTATTCACATTCATCTATCAACTTCAAATTGTAACCATAGCAATAGGTGTCGAATTCACAAACTCAATGTAGGGATACAAACGGTCGAACCCCTTTCTGATCAAAATGTGTCAACAACTTCATTACGGCTTAGACGAATAAAAAGAAACTATGTCAAGTTAGTAGAGCCTCACATGATCATGTAAGAGAAAGGGCATATAGAATAGAAAAAAAAATTCTTTTATATATTCTGCTTAAATCCATAATTTTTTTTACTTATTTTATGCAATTTTATATAAATACTCCTAAAACAATTTCTAGAACGCTTCTTCGGGGTCCAAACACCCAAAAATTATAACTCTTTCTTAAAAATTCATGATCTCGCCACTGAAACTACCAATCAGATGGAGAACATTATCGATCAACTCATCTCGTACGTTATATATCTTTAATCTCGATGAAACTATTAAATAGTTTATTAGATTGTAATTAAGGTGACCAAGAACTTAATTAATTGACCTTATACAATGGCTTGCCATACCCATACACGCAATCTAGGAAATTAATGTGAATCCCTAATTTCCCCTTACAAAATGGGGTCAATATGCAATATTTGTTAACTTTTGGGTCAATGTACAATATTGGTTAAATTAGGATTTGGGGATGAAATTGAGGTAAATAAAAATTTGAAGGCCATTCTAATCTTTGGTGGATTAATGTTTTTTTTATTCTTTTCTTAAAAGATAAATGTCCAATAATTTTTTTTTCAATTTCGTCATTTATCAATCTTAATTAATTAATTGAAAGATAGTTTTTTTGTTCAGAACCTTCCGTACAACCATGCATCAATATGGAAGCTAAATTGTGAGCAAGCTTATTACCTTGTCTCTTAACAAAGGAGAAAGAACAAACAAGAATAAAAACTACTAGCTAGTGTAAGGGAATCGTCCAACGGAGCCCCGAAACGAACAAGAATAAAAACTACTCTTGGTTTGGTGGAGCAGCGGCATCGAAGTTAATTTTGATTAACCCAGGCGGGGGCGGGGACCATTATGAGATGTGCGTGGGCTCTTTGGAAACGGCAGATTGTCATGTTTATCCGATTTTCCCTCTAGCTTGCTTGAATTGTTTATGTCGTCATCGGGCGAAAAAATCCACCAGATACGATCGTATGCCTTACTAATGTCCAGTTTAACTGCCATAAATTTAGTTCGCTTCCTAGAATTTAATTTAATGAAATGGTTTGTTTCATAGGCCACCAAAACATTATTCGTTATAAGGCGCTTCGGGACAAAGGCAGATTGGACAACAATTAACGACAAGGATATTTTGTTGATGTTCATTATTTGTTGCTATAACCATTGCATATTGCTTGATTTTATTAATATGTAAGCAACAATCCAAAACTACGTATATTATTGGATGAATGGAGTAGCTTTTAAAACTAATACATTCATGCAACTCAAATCATAGAGATAAAAAAATTATCGATTCAGTTATCATAATCAATTTTCTTTTCACTCAAACATGAAAGAAAGATTGACTTATAACCAGAAAATGGTTATCATGTTAACGGCGATTATCAAGTTACGCGAAAACTCGTGTCATTATAAGTTCTTACACTTTGTCATTCGATTCACATAATTTATCAACATATTTAACATGCAATATTATAAATAATATTGTAAAAATATCATACCGTTAACAAGTAATAAAGTGGGCTCATGAAAGTCGGGATATCGTACCCACATGGAGCAAATTATTTTCTACTTGTAAGTACCCAAATATCACTACTTAAGCAACAAAATTGAGATTCAAATTATTAATTCTATGACTATGAAAATAAATAAATAACAAAAAGCAAATAACTGCCGGTCTCTGGCCTTGACCTTTTTTCTTTTCTTTTTTTCAGTTTTTTTTCTTAAGAAACAATATGGTAAAATTATTGTCTGAGACAGTAAAATTACTGTTTGAGACAGTATTATTGCACTGAAACAGTAATATTACTGTCTCAGACAGTAAAATTATTGTCAGAGACAGTAATATCGCAGGCTGAGACAATAATCTCAGACTAGTAAAATTACTGTATGAGATAGTAATATTGCAGACTAAGACAGTTATATTAACACAATAATATTAATATTAACACAGTAATATTACTAAAAATAGTTTTAAAAATGTATTAAAAAAAAGTTCAACGTCAGAGACCGGCGGTGACGGTCAAAATTGGGGTCAACATTGGTTAATTGGTAAACTTGAGACTAAATTTGGGTTTAAACGATGAAATTGAGTTTCTAATAGGATTTCAAGGAGTTAAGAGTAATTCTTTTTTAATAATAAGTTATGGGTAATTTGGTATATGTAATTGAGTTTTTCTTAGTTGCAAATGAAGTTGGACTAGTGGATATATTTGCGAGAAAGAAAATAGAATGCCCCTATTTTAATTCCCCATATATTTAAACAAATGTTACATATATTTACTTGTTCAATAATATTTTTATGATTATTTTGAAAGAAAAAAAATGGGTTTCTGCCCCAAACCCTGTAAATTTTATATTTACCTTAACGTCGTCAATATTTTAGTCATATTTTCTCCAAAATTTTTAACTGCTAACTAATGGAAAAAATTATTGTACAATGCTCATTAAAACGAATTAACGATACAATATACAAATTTTTAAGAATCAACTTAGGGCCCCTAATTTTTCAGAAACGACCATATTTCTACCCTTTAATTACCTAACAATTAGCGAGATCAAAAAGAAGGTTTCAACAAAAGTTTGTAGGAACTATGAAACACATACATGTACTAGGTTTCATCTAAATAGATGCATGTACAATTTACAGACCAACTAAAATAATAGTCAGCATTTCATATTTAATTGTCAAATAAGTCAAAAAAAAAAAAAAAAAAAAAAAAAAAAAAAAAAAAAAACATTGAACAAGTTTTACATAACCGCATCAACACTTGCATGATAGAACAAAATACAACATGAAAACCATCGTGCATGTATTGTATTTGATCAACTTTACTTGTACATTATCAAACAAAGATACATAGTAGTAATAACAACAATTAAACAAGGGCAGAAAGGTCAAAAGAAAAAATGGGAGGGAAGAATAAAGCAGTACTACTACTAGTAGTTGCCTTGTTCCGCCGCATCATCGTCGCCGTCTTGGTCGTCGGGGGTGGTGGTGTCCGGTTCGTCGCACATCGGGGTGGTGTAGTAGAACGAGCCGAGAACGTACTTGACCATATCCCGGTACACCACCGTCGGGCGGTGGAGGTTGACGCCGCTCTTTCCTCCGGCGAAGTTGGTGGCTATGTTGCAAACTGGATCCGGCGAAGAAACCAGTCTCAAGAAGCAGTTCTGTGGGTTCAGCTTCTTACCGTTGACGTATTTGTTGCAGGTGACGTCGAAATCTCCGGCGTCGTCTGTCAGGTCACTTGCGTACTGCACCACCCTACTCCTCTCGTCCAGGCACGTCACGGAAACTTTGCTACCTGCAACAAAAAGAAAAGAATTAAAAAAAAAAATGAAAGATGAAGATGATTAAATAATTGGGTAAATTACGAAAAAACCCCCAAACTTAGGTTAAATAACAAAAAATACCTCATTTATTCGTAATTATCAAAAACCCCTAAGGTTGTTTCCGTCTTACACCAATCCCTTTCGGTGTGACTTTTTACTTTTTTTTTTTTTTTTCTCAATTCCTAGGAAAAGACTTTAAACAATTTCAGATATTTTATTTTATTTCTCGCCTATTTAACGTAAGGTATAATAGACTGTACACTTGTCTGATAAAAAAACTGGATCAACAGTTAATTAGAGGAGGTTTCGGTTATTACAATAGGTGGGGGTATTTTTCGTTATTTAGCCTAAGTTCAGGGATTTTTCGTAATTTACCCTAAATAATATGATTTCTAATTCTTTAATATGTATTTAAATTGTGTTGGTTGGGGTTGTTACCTTTGATGGGGTTGGCGCCGTTGACCCACTCATTCCAGCCCTGAGCGCAGTCCTGGCAAAGAACTTTTCCGGCGACGTGAAAAACCTGAGTGTCTTCTCCGGCGGCGGCATCGGCCGAGCACTCTAGCAGCAACGATGATGCAAGAACCATGAGCAATATATTGGTCAACATGTTCCTCATTTTGTTTTGGGTACTTAGCTTGTTTCAGTGCAAAATATGGTATTGAAAAAATTGAACAACTCTCTTGTGAATATATATATAAAGAGATTAATTATTTGATTCGGGATTAATTATTATTATTATTTATTATTTATAATTCTTTTTTAAAGTGGAGAGGCACTACTTTGTGACGTGCAAACCATGAAGCTTACATGTTTTAATGGATAAGAACTGTACATCAATCATAGGGAGAATTATACTTCCATCCCTCGTCTTTGGTCCGATTCCGCTTTTCGTCCCTCGTGTTCTAAATTGAACAAATTTCACCTCCAAATTTCAATTTTAAACACATTTGGTGTCCTTCGTCACGTGTTCGTTCGCATATAACGGAAAACACTATGTTGCGGTCAAAGTTGAAATTTAAAATTATTTAAGGGCTGGAAAAGAATTAAAAGTTTATAGTATTATTTATAATTATGTTTTTTTAATAATATTTAGTATAATAAAAAGAAATGAATAATATTTAAATTTCAAAAATAAAATGCAAAATATACATAATAAATACAAGGGTTAATGGCAAATAGACCGATGACAACAACACTTAAGTAATAAAGGGACATCCAACTTTTTTTTGTTGCAAATAAATCCACCTCATTCAAACTTATTTACAAATAAGGAAAACTCTTTCATATATACCAAAATTACCCTCAACTCCTAGAAATCCTATTCAACTCCAATTTCATAATTTACACCACAATTTAGTCAATTAACCAATTTTGACTTTTATTCCAATTTTTACCCCAATATTATTGACCGCCACAGTCAGAGACCGCCAGTCAGCCGGTGTTGACTTTTATTTTTAACCTTTTTTTCGGCTGGATTACGGCGTTAACCTGCGGTTCTCCGTCGTTGATTTTTTTTTAATATTATTGTATTGGCCTGCAATATTTTTGTCTCAAACAGTAATATTGCAAGCCAAGACAGTAATTTAACTGTGGGAGTACACAATGGTGTATAGTTTGTGTTTGTGTAAATTGTTGGGAGTACACAATGTGATGGTGGAGAGTGATTCGATAATAGTGATTAATGCTATTCGGAGTAATAGGATTAATTGGGAGCTCGAATATTTTATTCGACTATGTTTTCGAGAGATTGATCCTTCGTTTTCATTCATGCATATCGTTAGGCAAAAGAATAATGTGGCGGATCGGCTAGCGAATTGGGCTCATGGGCATAAATCTCATCAGGAGTACTTTACAGTAGAAGCATTACCTAATGAGGTTCGAGCAGCATATATTAGTGATAAATTGGGTTTGTTTAATTTTCGTTTGAAATGATGACGCCGCTGAAGATGGAGTTTTATAGTGGGAATTCGGGGCGCTTTGCATTTTCACTCCTGTCTGGGGTCATTTTTGCAATTCTGAGATTTTTCAATTCCACCCATGCCAGGGACAATTCTCGTACATTTGGATTTGGTTGTCTAGGTAGTTTTGTTTATTCACTTTCTACCCCGTTTTAGGGCTATTATGTAATAAACTCAATAGGGTTGTTTCTGATTTTTTATTACCATTGTAGGGGTACTCTTTTTCCTTGTGTAGACCCACAAGGTTTTAACGAGGCTCCAATCCTTATATAACAATGGAATAATAATAATAAAAAATAAAAAAAAATGTGGGAGACGGTAATTTAACTGTCGGAGACAACAATATTATTGTCAGAGACGAGAATTTAACTGTCTGGGACAGTAATTTAACTGTGTGAGAAAGTAATATGAATGTCCCCGACAGTAATTTTACTGTATTAATTAATTTTATCGTCTTGGCCTACAATTTTGCTGTCCGCGACTGTAATTTTACTATCTTTGACTGTAATATTACTATCTTTGGCCGTAATATTACTGTCAATATTACAGTCTCATGCAGTAATATTACTGTTTGGGACAGTTTAGAGCAATTCCAATGGCGGAATTAAATAAAGTATCAAATGATAAAACTACCATTTTAATTCTCAAAACTTAAAATATCCCACTCCAATGGAGGCATAAAATTGATGGTTAGTTTGATAGTCAACCTCCTGAAGGTGTAAAAATGGATCCCGAAAAGTGAAGTATCAAAATTGTAACCACCCAATTAACCTACCATGAGTTGACATCTATTATTTAAAAATATAATTATTCATATATTTAAGTTTTGATAATCTATTTGATATTTATGGTTCAAGTAAAAATGTTTAAAGAGGTATCAAAATAATATAGGTATCAAATGAGCATTTGATGTTCCATTTTGGTACTTGTCCATTGGAGTTGCTCTAATATTAGTAATATTACTGTTTTGGCATTCAATATTACTGTCTCAGACAATAACTTTATTGTTAACACGGTAATTTAGAGAGAAAAAACAAGTTTGAAAAAAATATATATATACTCAATGGCGGAGACCACCCGGAAAAAAAATTCAGAAAAAAAAAAGTTTTCAATAAAAAAAAAGGGTCCGTGTGGTCAACGCTTGAATCTGTCCGGAAAAAAAATTCATAAAAAAAAATTATTTTCTAAAAGAAATTTCAAAAATTATGTTAATGGGGGTTAATGCGATATATTTGTTCAAATATGGGGTCAATGTACAATATTGATTAAGTTCGAGTATAATGGATGGAATTGATGGAAATTATATTATGAGGGGTATTTTAGACAAAAGACATAGGGATGAGTTCATTTACGAGACTGTTTTTGTTCAGGACCTATTTGTATTTAAGTCCATTGTCATGCGTCTATTTGCGTTTTGCCCTAAATACAAATATTTCGGTCAAAGTTGAATAAACATGTGTTTTGGGTTAAAATTGAATAATTTGTGAAATTTGGAGTCAAATTTATGTTAGATTAAATTAAAGGATGAAATGGGAGCATATTAAAATATGAGGGGCTATTTTAGTATTTTACAAACCTCTTGACACTATGTGGACTTTTTTGAAAAATAGATTTTTGTTTGTACCGCTTTATAAATAAGTACCCACTGATGGGCTTATTTGCAAAGTCTCAATAATTATTATCACCCTTGTAATATTATATATGTTTATTTGGATAAAAATAATAATTGTAAATGTAAATCCTATAATTGAAAAATACGAAAGTAAAATTTCAATATAATTTACAATGTTCATTAAAACCCCGTAATCCATAAAAGATGAAGAAAGGGAAATAAATTAAATTTCACAATAAAAATTTGAAACATCGTAAAAATTGCTTCATCGCATACTCATTTGTGTATTTAAATGCAACTAGCCGAACACAAAACCTCATCGACTAAATCAAGAGGCACGAATTTTATGGGGATAATTTTGTCTAATTTTCAACTGAATCGATAAGCTAAGCAGGAGATGAATCCGATCAGAGTTGTATACCAAACACTCTTAATTAGTTATCTCTTCCGAATCAGATATTAGGAGCATCATTAAGAGCTCTAAATCGAATTTACCCTCTATTTCTTGTTTTAAAAATAAATAAACGCAATTAACGTATTAGTACAAAACTTTCCTCACAAACCACACAACAGATGAGATCATATCACCACTTCCAGTTTAGTACAGGGCTTGAAAAACATATCTTAAAAATAAAAAATAAAAAACATCTACACAGAGTACTTCTTCCTCACAGTAATCCAGCGTCCTTTAGCGCGACCTCAAACGCTGCCTCGCTGTTCCACGGGCTCACCTCGGCTATCTTGGTGTTGAAATAGTCCTCGATTTTGCCCATAATCGAGTCATCTCGACTCGTACATAGGAGATTGAAGACAGCACCTGTTCAGTCACAAACTCTTAATCAGAATAGTAACCTTAATAGTTACACGTGGACTTACAGAATAGTAACCCTAATACATTATATACCCCAAACTCTTAATCAGGAAAAAAAGGCTCGTTATAATAAAAGAATAAACATGAATCGAGCAAAAGTCATACCTTTACGACCAAAGCGCCCTGCTCTACCAACTCGGTGCAAGTAGACATCACAATCAGGCTGAGAAGGTCTATCGTGTTTCACCGGAAGATCAAAGTTCACGACCAAGTTAACCTACATACAGAAACCATACCACATTGTAATAGGTCAATATCCAACAAACAGTAAATAAATAAACACTCTAGCAATTAATAAATAAACAAAAAAAGAAGAATAAGCACCTGTTTCTGGTCAAAGCCTCGGGAGAGAAGATCGGTTGCAATTAGAACTTGAGTCAACCCTTCCTTGAACTCCTTTATGATTTTATCCCTATCCTCTTGCTTGAGAGCACCTTGAATGGTAGTGACCTCATAGCCGAGGCTGACCAAAGATTGGTGCAACATAGTCGAATTCTCCCTCGACTTTACAAATATAATCGTTTGGCCAACCTTCTCTCCAAGTTCGAGTATTCGGTCTTTAATAACCTGGATCTTTGAAAGTTCATCAGGACAATGCACCTTGTACTGTTTTACGGATTCCAATGACAGTTCTTCCTTTTTTACAAACATCTGGTTATAGTCTCTGACAAAGATATCCTCAACTATTCTTGATACAAATTGTTTGACGGAATCATCAAATGTAGCCGAGAACAAAAGGACCTGATAGTAAATTTTCACAACAGCACAAAATCACTCGGATGCACAACAAGTTGATAATAAAGATTTTGAAAAGCCATGAAACATGTGTAGTAAATAGTTAACCTGGCAATTGTAATTGGCGTCCTTGATGTTCCTCATTATCGCCACTGAATCGTCTCGGAATCCACTCTGCGTATAAGAGAAATTTCGCAAATTAACATGCTTACGAGAGAATACTTGCTATTTGTCTCTCAACTCACTGAAGTTTTCAGATAATAAAGATTCTTTGTTACTATTTTAACCAATTCGTGAAATACAAAACAGAAATATTTGCACAAACTGGTACGCGGAGAATTGCATGAAACATGTAAGACAAACACAATCGTATTTTAATCCTTTATCAAATATTTTAATCCATTAGCACGTGGAAGAAGCTAGACAAGCAATACGAAGTCTCGAGATATGTGAACAACCTGAACAACCAAACTATTAACTAATGATAAGAAGCTAATATATCCTACAAAAAGTTAAATGCAAAAACGGTGCTCAATAAAACGAGACACTGAATGTACAAAAATGCAAGATGAATCCGTCATAAAGCTAAGAACCGTTGATTACCTGTCCCAACATGTGGTCTGCCTCATCAAACACGAGAATCTTCATCTGATTCAATCTCAGTTTCTTAGCTGTCATCCACTTCTTAAGCGTACCAGGTGTACCGATAATTACTTGTGCTGTAATAGGAGGCATCTTATTAACTGGAATGTAGCTTGACGAATCTGCAGGTATGCCTAATTCGGAAGTTATTCCTGTGAACTTCCCCATCTTCAGAAGCACTTCCAAATTCTGCACCATTTATTCCGTTTTTTTCTTATTTCTTATCAAACCATATCATACAGCAATATACATGTTAACAGTTTCATAAGTATTTAACCTCACAGATGATAGATTGACCAATACATTACATTCATAAGTCATACTGGCACGACCAACTTTCTAACAAACAACGATTACTCTACTTTTATCTTTAAAAGATGTACTAATATTAGCTAAAAAAAATCTCAAGTGTTTTAGAGCATCATCCATGGTTCAAATACCTATCAAAAACTTGCAAACGAATCAACAATCCAGCATAAGGAGCGTAATTCGTAAATAGTATGACTAATGTCACAATGTAAAACTACAAACAATCAAATCACAGGCGGTTCAAAACTGGACGGGATTACATGAATAGATGTAGTCATATTTCCATGCACCGGCAATTCTAATCTTCGACCCAATTTTCATTTTGTCCATCAAACCGAGAGAAATATGCTAATAAAGATAGCTCCACATAGCAAAAAAACAAAAGACGAAGAGAATCATCGTAACTAGACGTACCTGAATGGCTAACTCTCTTGTGGGGCAGATACAGAGAGCCTGAGGAGCCTTGAGCGTTGGGTCGACACGGCTCAACATACCAAGAACAAAACAAGTGGTCTTTCCGGATCCATTGTGAGCCTGAGCTATTAAATTCTTGTGGGGAGGAGTCAGAATCATGGGCAAACTAATTGCCTGTATCTTACTTGGTTTCTCAAACTTCATCTCGATATACAGACCCTTCAACAATTCAGCTGATAAGTTCAAGTCCTCGAATCTCTTAGCTGATGTATACGGAGTGTCACCTGATGTAACCTATACTTCAATACAAAAATTGCCAAAGTAAGAAGAGGATTTGCATTAAGAATAACTCTTGCTAGTAAAATTAAGGTAAGCACAGTGCCAATAGTCATCTGAAATTTGTTCGATATAAAACCTAATTCCAAGAAGAACCCTAAATTATCGAAATTCAGCCTAATCCAGAAAAAGTTGAAAAATAATCTAACCCTAAATTATCGAAATTCAGCCAAATCCCAAATAATCTAATTTTAAACGTCACTGATGTTCGAAATCAAGATTGCGATAATTACCGCTTCGATGCGGGAGTCGTCTGGATCGGAGAGCGTGCTGCTGGGTTTGGAGTCGCCGATGCATAAAGAATTTAAATTGACATCTACAGGTGAATCTGTCTTCAACTCGGCCTTGGCGTCGGCGTCGTCCTCGTCAGAGATATCGGCCCAACGCCTTGTCTCTGGAGGAGGATTCGAAGCGGCGGTGGCGGTGGCGGTGGCGGTGGTAGATGGGTTGTCGTCGGCCATGTCGGCGGTGGTAGTTGAGTAGAAGCTCTCCTGCGACGTTTAATTAAATTTGAGAGAGGAAATTAATTTGAGAGAAAAGAATGACTGCGTGCGCTTATATAGAGGGAGAGAAGAAATTAATTTGAGAGAAAAGAATGACTGCTCAATTTATATTAAAAACAGAATTTATATTAAAAAAAAGGTAAATTTATGAAACAAACCCTCTTATTTGAATAATTATATTTAGGGCTAATGGCAAATAGGCCCATGACAAGGGCATTTAATTAAAAGAGGGACATCTAACTTTTTTGTCTTTCAAATAAATCCAACCCATTCCAACTTATTTGCAAATAAGGAAAATCCTTTTATATATACCAAAATTACCCCCAATTCATTGAAACTCAATTTAACTCCAATTTCATGATTTACACCCCAATCTAGCCCAATTTCATCAATTAACCAATTTTAAACCTAATTTTAATTTTGACCCGCCACCACCGGAGACCGCCGGTCACCGCCGTTGACCGGCATTGACTTTTTTTTTTTTTTTTTTTTCTAAAATTTTTTTCCGGCCGGTCAACTGCCGTTGACCGCCAGGTCTCCGGCGTTGACTTTTTTTTTTATTATTTTTTTTTTTGAAATTTTTTTTCCGGCCGGTCAACAGCCGTTGACCGCCGGGTCTCCGGCGTTGACTTTTTTTATTTTTATAATTTTGTTTTTTCTTAAAAAAAATATTTTAATTAATATTACTGTCTTGGCTGCTAAATTACTGTCTCCGGCAGTTATTTAACTGTCGGAGACAGTAATTTAACTGTTAATTGACTCTTTTGTTTTGTTTTTTTTCTTCAAAAATATTTTAATTAATATTACTGTATTCGTTGCTAAATTACTGTCTCGAGCAGTTATTTAACTGTTAACTGACTTTTTTATTCTTAAAAAAATTATTTTTAATTAATATTACTGAATTCGTTGCTAAATTACTGTCTCCGGCAGTTATTTAACTGTCGGAGACAGTAATTTAACTGTTAATTGACTTTTTTTTTTCCTTAAAAAAAATTATTTTAATTAATATTACTGCATTGGATGTTAAATTACTGTCTCCAACAGTAATTTAACTGTCTTAGACAATAATATTAATAATATTACTGTTCGGAAAAATAATATTCATAATATTACTGTCCCAAACAGTAATATTACTGTCTAAGACAGTAATTTAGTAGCCAAGACAGTAATATTAATTAAAATATTTTTTTTCTAAGAAAAACAATTCAAAAAAAAAAATCAAGTGTTGTTGACCGGCCGGAAAAAAATTTTAGGAAAAAAAAAAGTTTCAAAAAAAAAAAAAAAAAGTCAACGCCGGAGACCGGCGGAATCTGGCCGGAAAAAAAACATTTCAGAAAAAAAATTATTTTCTGAAAAAAAAAAAGTTTTGGGGGTTAATGTGATATATTTGTTTAAATTCGGTGTCAATGTGTAATATTAAGGAAGTTAGAGTATAATGGGTGGAATTGATAAGAATTATATTATTGAGGGTATTTTAGACTAAAGACATGGGGATGGGCTTAATTGAGAGACTGTTTTTTTTTTTGGACCAAAATGCATTTAAGTCCCATGTGATGGGCCTTTTTTGCCATTTGCCCATATTTATCTATCGACTATGTTTTTTTTCTTACATCTCCATCCTTATGGTGTCAAATTCAACATTATTATCTGAGTGGAATGTGCTCTGAATTGTACTCGTTTTGTGTAAAAATACAGTTTCTGATGCACCACACTCTGGTTTATACAAGCCAAAAACACATATTATGATCATCTTGCTTGAAAATGTGGAGTTCGAATGGGATAAAACGGGTACAAAAGTGATAATATTTCATATAATTTCGAAAATTTCACTAAATTTGAAACCGCAAGGATGGATGATGTGTAAAAAGAGTTATAGTTGAGGGTAGTTGTCCAAACAAGATGGGATTTTTCTAATTTAACCATACCTCAGGGGTGCTTATAATTTACCCTAAAAAAAATAATAATTGTTGCGTCCGCTAATTTGCCGGAAAATAATTAAGGTTTTGTGCGTAGATCTGCAGCTACTTTAATCTAGCAACTTACAGTTTTCGCGAGCAGTTTCGTTTCTATATTCGGCGCACGAACGAGAATCCACGTCAAGCCTTCAATTAAAAACTGTTATTCAGAAATTTACAGCCCTCTTCCTTCTCCGATATCTCCGTACTGTATAAATTTCAAGCCTCTCTTCCTTCACGATATCTCCGTACTGTATAAATTTCAAGCTTTTCTTCCTTCACGATAGCTCGTACTGTAGAAATTTCAATCATATCCGTTATCCTATCAATCCTATATGTAATCCTATCCAATGAACGGTATGGTGAATTGAGAAACTTCAAGAGAAAAGAAGAAGAGAAAAATTCTTCTCTTTGGACAGGAAATAGGCGTCTCAGAATTATCTCTCTCTCATCAATCTAATTTTTATTATATATAGCACAAGAATTAGAATCGCACATAGAAATGATTAGATGGAAACAAATCTCACTCTTTCTATAACTCCATATAGTCGAAAGTCGAAAATTGCAGTCCAATGAGGACTTAATTTTCGGCTATATTAATTCCAATATATAATATTGGTTGAACTTTATTTTTCGATTAATTAGAAAATCCATTTAGCTACAATATGGACTAAATAAGAAAAATATAAATCAGGCAACGTAACTAGTAATTAATTAAATCCAAACCCTTAAAAGAATTCATTTAATTAATTATTAAATAATTATTTATTTTCCACCACCAAAAAATTATTGAACTTCCGTTTATATTCTCAAATATTATATTCGAGTTCCGGTCGATCATTACTTAGATTCTCCCCACATTAAGATATCTTATAACCATCAATAAATTAAATAATTTATTTTAATGAGTTTTTACCCGCTTAACTTATTTGAGTATGCCGGATACGAAATCAACCTGGCCAGAACTTGGCATAAACAAATCTTATAAGCTACTCAAGGGTTATTATCAATCTCATATTTTAGAGATGCATATTCCTTTTGATTAGTAATTTCCACCTATTAATTCTTAATGTCTCTACCCAACGCATCGGGGGCCATTTGACTCAATATAGGAATATCTCCCAATGTGACATCAAAGTAGAGATCATCAATTAAATGTGTATGTTAATTATCTATGGATTAAGAAAATAAGTAATTTACTGTCAACTAGAAATAATACATTTTCATTATGAACACTGATGAAACAATTAGGCGGCCACTATATGCAATCGCAAAATTTACTTAGGACAAGACCAAATTAATTGTAAATAGACGATAATAATCTTAGTAAAATATAAAAGAAAATAAAACTTAATTCTATCAATTACTCTTGCGAGACCAAATTTAAAAAAAAATGAAAACATAATTCAAAAACGGGAGGGAAGAAAGAAGAGGATCACTTGCAGATTTGCCGCCGTCGCCATCGCTGATAAAGTCGACCACCGCATTGTAAAATTTCGACACACTGGTGTCGAATTTTTCACTAAATTTCGACAATAAGTTGTTGTCGATTATTTGCACATTTTTCGACATTTGTGTGTCGATATTTTGTTCAAAATTCGACATCAATCTGTTGATTTTTAGCAATTAAAACGACATGTTGGCGTCGATTTTTTCATAAACTGAAAAATTCGACTCTATAATGTCGTTTTTATAGCTAATTATCGACCTGTAAAAATCGATTTTTTGTGTACAGAAAATTATTTTCGAAAAACGAGAAAAACGATTCCAAAGCTTAAAAAAGTACAATTTTTCTTATCTCATTGTGTTCTTCAGCCTTAGAATCATCCATATTGATGTCTTGTGTGTCCATAATGTCTTCATTTGCAAGTTTTAGTAGCATTTGAGGGTTTTGTTTGATGAGGGTTTTTGGAGAATATGAAAAAAAAATTTAGAGAAAATGTGTAGAATGAGTATGAAGAAGAAGAGGTTGGGTTTTGTTCGTGAAGAAGAATGGTCATTTTTATTTTTATTTTCTTGGTCTTGCAATAGCAATCAGGTCTTTTTTGAATTAACAATATCAAAATTAATATTGGGGTTATATTTGTAATTTTCAATCTTGCTCCTGTAATTTTCAATCTTGTTCTTCGTAAATTTATCTATATTTGGCGTTGCATGAAGTAAGATCTTGCCCTTAGAAATTTTGAAATTGCAAATAGGTGCAGCCAAAAGAAATTTTGAGATTGACCAAGACCAATCACTTAAATATTGTGCTACAATCTTTTACCAATGGTTAGTCCAATTCCATCTAGATTGTGAACAAAATTTACTATTATGGTTGAAATTGCATTGAAAAATTCATAAAAAATCTACCTTCATAACGAAAAATGACTTGAACAATTGCGTCAAAAGCAATGGTGACGAATATTATTCTATATAGTTTTACGCGAGGAAAAGAACAATATTTCACCATCAATGGCACTAGGTTTTTCTGTAACAATAGTTCGCTACGATAGAAAACAAAAACTATGAAGAGCAAGCCTACTTCTTGTATCGTTCGGTTCTACTCTCATTCTGAATTTACAACATTTGGTCGAAAACTTTTGGCACCATTAAATCAGAATTAAATTAACCACAGCGAGATATCATCAAGCTACAAAAGGACTGGTCCATAATCTAAGAAGCCGAAAATCCCGTGACAGGACAAAGGATGGACTTTTTTGCAAACTGTTTGTAACTCACTCATCTCCACTTGTCCTGAAGATCTTTCTTCTCCGACCAAACCCATGTAACGAAAATTGCCACAATTAGGCCAACAATTGTGAGTAGAAGTAAAGCATAGCTGAAATCTTCGGTAAGAGAATCGTATGTTCTAGAAGGTGCGAGCCGAGTGAAGAAGAGATCTACACCATAAGCGAAGACAAGGGTTGTTGACTCCAGCTTTGCAGGAACTGTTACTATGCCTCTCAGTGATTCCACTTTAAGAGCATGCGTTACATAAGACTGCAAATGGGAAGACAAAAAATTGAAATAAAAAAAAAAAAAAAAAAAAAAAAAAAAAAAAAAACTCGAAAGATATATTTTTATAACAAAAGGAGCAAAATTCAAATACTAAAATAGGTTTTCATTTTTTTTTTTTAATTTAGCAACAGTTTCGAATAAATGTTACCTGAGGAATAATTGGTATTGAGTCGGTAAGAGGAATAATTCCTTCCTCTTTCTCGGCTTGAGTGGGGTTGACTGTTCTTCGAGGATCTAAAAACCGCTTATCGAGAGCCAAAACCTGTTGAGTGGAGAAAAGGTCAAACATGTTAGGTGATAATAACAAGAGAGCTCAAAGTGAAACTAGATAATGCATTGAATAATACGATGAATATATAGACACCCCAATTGAAACGAGAGAGCTCTCACCTGATCACCGATTGTTCCAAGAAGAATCTGCTTGGAAGTTATGCCTTTGGCAGTTAAAGTCACGGCGATTGTTTTCAAGGAATGCGTGAAAAAATAAGACTGCGACTTGGTGAAGACTTCGGGGCGGGAGTATGCAGTTATCGGTGAAGTAAGATTATGTGCACCAAAAACAAGCTTCAAGACGTCTTTGTTTTCCTGCATATGACGGTATTTAAGGTAAATTACAGACAGCGGAATATAGAAATTACAAAAGATTAAGATGGTGGAATTACCGCACGAGCTTGGTCGTAGATTTCGATAACAGACATCTCATATCGGTGTGCCCTTAGGTTGAAGTAGTGATAGACAATCCAATTCTCGCTAAAGACCTTTTGTACAGAAGAAAAAGAAAAAAATTAAGTTTACGGTATCCACGAGAGATATATCTCGAAAGGGATAAGATCAAAGATGAATTTGTACAACTGTAAGAGAAGGGAGACTTACAGCATTTACGGGACCCTGTGAACCATGATGGGTCATTCGGTGCAAAATACGACCAGTTACAGTATCAATCACGTAAACGACGAGAGATGACTCATCAGGGGTAACTGAACCGATAGGACCAACGGCTTTAGGTGAAACAGTAGCCAAAAATAGAAGATTCTTTGATATGTATTTGTACATGACTTCCTGATCTGCTGTCACCTTAGCTTGAGTATGAACCACCTGATGACGAAAAGGGCAAAAAGGAAGTGCGGGAAAAAAAAATAAAAAAAAATCGACCAAAATCAGTTTAGCAGTAAAGTACTACCTATACCAACCAGATTTTCAAATATTGAACGCACGGCCAATCAAGATCCGATTTTTCTCTAAACCCAAATACCTGTCTCTACAGATGAGGTTCTAAGCCAGAAATAAACTAGTAGTTCTTAATGATATTCGTTTATCTTTACAAGTCAATGAATCATGTACAGCACTAGTTGCCATAACACCAAATGCAATGTTATAACACGAGGAGAAGCAGGAAATAGGAAATTAATGAAATGCAGGAGTCAGCTATAAGGAATGCTAGTGCCACTGCTTCAACTCAATGTGCAACAAGATTTACGAATCTATGGAAGTATGCTATTTCCAGGCAGTACTTAACTTCCGAAAAATATAATCAATTTGCAACGTAACTGGGGAACATTCGAAAGTATTACAGCCTGACCAAGTCAAGCTTCATACTTGATCAACAAGACGGCCACAGAGAATAAATAACTAAATGAGGGACATTAACAAAGTAAGGCAGGAAATGAGAATGTGCTTCCCACTCATATTAATACTCGAGTTGAATAACTAAGATACCAATTTTCGATGAAGCAACCATCTCTCTGTTCACATACTTTATTTCATATATGTAATAGAATGATGATCAATAAGTAAATCGAGTACTAGAAAGGTAATTATGTGCTTAATTACTATTGTATATCTAGCAAATTAAGTAGAAGTTGTATACTAGGTAGAAGTTGTCTATGTAGATGACAATTTTGCCATCACCAGCAAGGGGTTCACAAAAAGGAAGGTTTTCAAGTAACACCAGCCATATAAGATCAGACCATAACTTAAAAATCATCCATAAATTCATATTCTAACGAAATGGGGATAGAAGAAGAAAAAGGCACACCTCATTTGAACTTGTTGTTGCAGTTGCAGCAATCTTTTCCGACTCTGAGGGGAACACAATTGACCATAGGTCCCTTGTGCCAAAACAGTAGTCATCTGCCACCTCAAGAACGCAATTCTTCTGCACTCCGTGACCCCTTAGGACACCATTATCAGTTTCAGCAGAATACCAATACACGTTCCCCAAATCATGCTGAAAAATGCCGAGAGCCTCGGCAGTTCTTGGGTACAAGTGACCCTGTCGATTCGCATCCAAAAGCAAATGCAAACGCTGCTCTCTGGAATCGGTAAAAGGCAGTGGAATAACATGGGCAATGGAATGAGTGGGCCCTACATGATATGACTCCTTCCCAGTGTATGTGTCAACAATAGAGAAAACTCCGGCAGAATCTAAACCCTGTCCACATCTTCCCACAACCAGAACAGATGGATTCTCGTCCAATGCATGATGATGAGGGTCCTGCCATTGATGCAAACTAACCCCCCTAGGATTTTCACACGTTTCCGATTTACGAAGAGATTTCAGTAAGAGGGACCACACAATTCTGCCGTCTCCAGTGTGTAGGGCAAAAACTTTCCCCGATCGAGTAAGTACTATGAGAAGCTTTCGGAATCCGTTGCGGTCACGAGTCATCTTGCTTTTCTCAGAGCTTTGCAACCTTATTTTCTGTATGGCTACCACATCGTCAGGGGTTGCTATCATAAGAGTTCCTTTGAGCTTCAGCAGATGCCCCTTCAAAAAATATACATATATATAAATAATAGAACAAACAGTCAGGAAAAGCACTACCAACACTAATCAGGAGAGTTAATTGGCTATTAGAGCCAAGGTCAAGAGTTTGAATCCTGCCCCTCCAGATATTGCATTCAAGTGAAATAGTCAAAGCACTCTTCCACTCCATAAAGGATCATGATAACAGATAAATACAGAATGGTACAAGATGGCATGCTAAACCCCATTTCCCTGATAAGCTGACATATTTAATCTATTGTTTTGAACTATTATTATTATTACGAAGTAAAGGACTCACCGGAAATAGCCTAAACAAAGTCAGTATGTGCTAAATTCCTCTCAGCAGAGAGAGCTTAAGACCATTACTTTGAGTTCCAAGTAAATATGATAAATAAAAATCTTATTTCAAATACTACTGAACAACACCAATAACTAAAGAAGGACAAAATTCTATCAACTCTAACAATATTTTACCTTGTCCATTATCATACCTCTAGAAAAACAGAGATCAAAACCCTCTTGACGTGAGTAATATGGTTGATAAATGATATATCTAATCTCAGATGCAATGTAAAACGATCAATGAAGATCGTATCAGCAATTAAAGGATAGAAAATTCACTTAACACCCTAAAACTGCAAATAATATAAATAGATAGTTTAAAACTTGAACGACAGCTTACCTTAAGCCATTCAAAAAGGTTGTGCTCTACTTTCGCCACCGACACACCATCCTTTTCAACTGGTAACTCTGATGCTTTAACATCTATAATTGAAGCTAGACCATCTTCCCTACTCCAGACAATCTCGCCTTGCTGTAATAACAGCAATGAATGGTCTTCCATGACAATCAGAACCCTGAAACCATTTGACCTGTCCGTCCGAACATATGTATTCAAGAAAACCTTATGCACAAGTCCCCTCTGATGATCCATCTGAACTGTATCATCAATTAAATTGGTTGTCCAATCATCGCCAAGCTTCACTGTAAGAAAAATCTTCCCATCACCCTGCTGAACAAGGGCAAAACCTTGCTGATCTTCCGGAAGAGATAGAGCATCGCTTACAGCATCTGTATGACCAACTTGGCCCACAACTATCAACTTGCCTTCATTAATCACCTTTATGAAATGAACAGAACTACCTGTTTTTAGAATAAATGTTCCGGGTATTTTGGAAGGTAATGTCACAGCTGGTCCTGAAAAACCCGGGATGAGTTGAGAAACATGTGTCTTATGAAAGCTAATTTGTCCATCTCGGAAGAGTACGGAAACAAGAACTGTTTCAGTAAAATCTACTGCCATAGCCATGCCCTCTGACACAAATGACAAATCCCCAGAAAACCCAGCAGGAAAGAACATGCTGTTATGCTTCAACAGCTCACCACTCTTAACATCGAGTTGATAAACATCAAACCGGGAGGAACCAAGCAAACCTACAGCATATATTGTATCACTTCCTTCCGGAAGAATTAACTGTTGGACATCGATGCTGTAGAACATGAGAAAAAATATTCAGCCAATGTCTGGAAGAAATGTGACGAGATTAAAACTGTTGAGTTTTGAGTTTAAAATTTGATCAAACCCTTCAGAAGCTAGCTCCTTTTTCCAGATGAACTCTCCATCAATGCTTGCAACAGCATAAATAAAACCGTTACCGTAAACAAATATTACATCGTCCTTGTCGACCTTCAAATTTTTCTGTACAACACAATAGCATAATATGTCAGCAAATTATTGTGGCAAAATTGACATACCATGGCTAGAATCAGCACGCAAATCAATCCTTTCAAGTAACAGAAGAAAAAATAATCTGATTTGAAAAAAATAGAATGCGGTGCAAGGCAAATAAATCCAGAAATAGATGCTCTTTCACCATTGATACCGATAGCATAATGAAGATAGTTATACAAAACTCCTTAGCTACTACCTTGAAGTACGTACCTAAGAAGTAATGACTACGCACATCAATGCACATATATTTTCAGTCACCAGAACTAGTCAAGCAGAAGTCTCATCCATCAGATTGGTGATAAAATAGAAAACATATAGTACAAAGGCTTGTCGGGCATCAAGGGAAAGGAGAGGGCACTCCACAATAACAAAACAAGACTAGTAAGGGCAATATGCATTCGACCTTCATAATCATATAATTATGTGAGAATCACTTTTTTTGAAAAGTAGCCATCAACTGATCTTCTATTAAAGACGAGAATATAGAACCACTTACTGAATAAAATAGAAGTAACATAAGAATGAAAGAAATTTATAGCACTTTGTTTAGGCAATCAAGATTTAGGCCAGTTTTGGGATTTCGTGTTTTTGCGCTTTAACTAAGATCAGTGATTGACACACAAACATTTGGCATGGTAAAATTTAGACCTAGCTGAGGGTTATGGAAACTCGGGGCTGCGATTTCACACCAAAAGGACTCGTAAACCTCAATTACTGTACTTGTTTGAAAAGTGAATCATTGAAGCCACAGCTCACTGATCGTGCGAACCAATACAAATCACATTCTAGAGAATTGCAGCATTCAAGTACAATGTTGTGCCAAAAAGTTGTTTATAAAGCGGACATTCACATCTAACAAGAAGTTTCTTTAGTATGAGATTAAGCGATCCATAACACGTATTTCGGCTGTTTTAAACGAAGGATATCACTGTTCACTCACTGGAATTAGTAATAATGGCCTCGAGGACTTGGAGCCAAGAAGTGTTGACTCCCACACCATCTGGCCATCAGGAAGGTTCCAAGCTCTTACGACACTTCCTCCAGATGACAGAGTAATAACATCTGCAAAGATACGAAAAATCTACCTAAGAACCACATAATCAATATACATACAACTTAATTGCCGTGAGAATGCTAGGACAAGTTATTTTTAACTTCAATTTCCCAAAAGACTAATTTTTCATGTCATTAATTAATCAGGCTGATCAAACAAATAATTGATACTACCAATTCGTCAACAAAATAGAAGAGCTAAAAGTCGCCTTCCGTTAACAAAATATAAAAGCTAACAATCGAATTGAGTTATAAAGGAATGGATACCGACCCATATGCAAGAAAAATAACTTCTTTTTTTTCTAATTTTTACATAAACTGAATAACCAGCACCACACATTCAAATTCTCTCAGCATAAAAACAGCAACAAATACAAAGACAAAGGAGGATTTTGGTTACATTTTCCAAGCGCGATATCAATCTGATCGATGACGTCATTGGGCCCCAAAACATGCCTCCAAACTGCACCATAATTAAAATCAAAATTAATAAAAACAATTACTCCAAACAAATGGGGTGAATTAAAATACAATCCGTAAAGATCGGATTGGCCGATGCTACTCTGAAGGGGCAAAATAGAACTCACAAATCTCCCCATGGCGAAGATCAAGTGAAGCAACGACGTTTTCCTCGGTGGAGACGATAACGCGCTTCCTCGCCGCCTTCTGAGTGTGGAAAACTGCGTGCTTTACTTTCCCAATGTACTGTTGATGCCTACATACAAATTGGCGGACAATTCAAATCATCCAATTCATCGAAATTACAGAACACTATATCAAAATATATGAATTACAGTGATAAGAGACGGAGTAGAAGAATACCAATCCATGAGGCCGACTTGGTCTTCGTGTAGGGAAAAGGTGGGATATGATGTACAGAAGAAGAGGAGGAGAAGCAGAAAAACCCTAATCCCCATCGTAGCTACGATTCGTCAATTTTCTCTCTCTAGAGGGAGAAGACAACGAAAAAGAAAACAGATCTCAGGGCGAAGTTATAAAGGAGTCCAACTCTGTAGCGTCATACTATAGTGTAGTTAAGAGAGCTCGAACTTGGGGTGTGTTGTGTATGTATGTATTGTTTTTGTTTCACTTTTTTGTTTATTTTTCGTTCTATTTTTTTTTTTTTTTTTTTAATCGGTAGCCACTCGAAATATTTCGTTTGGTTGTCAAAATAGAATTAGCCAAGATAAGATTAAATAATCTAATCAAAACTCAATTATTTTATCTAGAGGTGCAAGTTGGAACGGAAATTCCAATTTTTCGCTGGTGCCGGAAAATACATCTATAAATATTATATATATTATATAATACTTTTTTATGTTTTTATTTTGTTTTCTGAAATAGTAATTTGATTTAAGTTTTGTTTAAGGATTTTGACATTGAATTGTTGTTAGAAGTTTTATTGAATATTCTAATGTGATTTTTTTTAAATGAAATTTAGTAGCTATTAGTTTTACCTTTATCCACTTGGATGCTCTTATTTTTGAAAAATTATGAAATTTTCAGAAAATTTTCGCTAAGTTTTAAAATTTTGAAACTCATGTGATTTTCGAAATTTTTTCTAATATTCATATTTGCTTGATCATTTTTCTGCTTTCCTCAAAATGTTTTTCTATTGTTATTTGTGATACCAAAGCAATAGTTACTTGATGCATATTTATAATTAATTATAAGTTGTTTAAATAAACTACATTTTTTTTTGTTGATAAATTTAAATAAACTACATTTAATCATGCTTGGGTATCATTTTTTGATACATTATAAGATATTTTGGATGAGCTTATAAGCTTCTTAAAATATATCTCAAGAGTGAGCTTATAGCAAAAAAAAGAATGTAAATTATTTAAAATGGGTTTATAAATCATAAATTGATTAAAAGTTAATATATATATATATATATATATATATATATATATATATATATATATATATATATATATATATATATATATATATATATATATATATATATATATATAGGTAATAAATAAAATTATTTATTAAAGTGTTATTTGAAATTTTTATAAAACAAAATATACTCATTAAAGCAATATTAATAATTAAAATTTAATTATAGACGTCCAAAATGAGAAATACAAATAACTCAGTAAAAATCATTGGAGCATATTCACACAACTATCACAATTCACACACATGAGCAAAAATGTATGGAGATAAACTTTGAATGAATAATATGACACATATTTATATGTTCATAAGGAGAGATCAAACTTAATTATCCTTCAACAACTTTAACGGCAGACCTGCACCGAAAAACGAAAATATAATAGTACTACAGATGACGAAAACTGACGATTGAGACGTTGTTCATATGAACAAATACTTACCCGAACGGACTTTGCTTGATAGCCAGTAGTTCGACATCCAGCTGCACAGTAAAGATATATTTTTGAATAAATCCTCTTACATATAATCTTTTTCTTTTTTTTCTCTTAAAAATCGTAAAAACGCAAATACTGTCTCGAATCAACACTAAGTAATATATAGATAGTCGACAATTCAATTTATAATTTGGTTTAATTACCTCGATTGTTGCATTAGGAGGAATTTCCTGTACCCCTTTGCTTCCATAGGCTAGCTCAGGAGGTACTATCAGTACCCTCTGCAAAAAAAAAAAAATGCTACTTCAGTTCTCAGCTTTGCGTAAAAATAAAATCCCTTGATAATTCAAATTGCTTTAGCAATTACGAATTTTCAACTTGGCCGTTTTTCAGAACAGAAACCAGTTTAATATAAGATCAACGAGCCGAATGTAGTAACTTCATTAATTAAATCATAATGTAAATTTTTAATTCAGTAAATAAATTTCAAATGTCAGAGATTAATCCGACCTGGCCTCCGACCCGCATGCCTTCAACTCCCAAGTCTAATCCTTTAAGAACTGCTCCTTTCTCAGATCGACCAACATCAAATCCGTAAGGCTGAATTCACCACGAATAAATAAATTAATTAATTAATAAATAAACGTAAATCTCTCACATGATGTATGGCAGTACTCGAACTTACCGTTCCACCACCAACACCGAGGCCTTGTCTACTGGTCATAAATGTGATGCCTTTCCACTTGGCTACGTAGTGCACCTATCAAAATCGCACGAGTCATATTATTACGAGTTGAAATAAAACAGCGCTAGAAGGTAGTAAAGAGAAATATATTTGTCGAACAAATTCATATGTCTAACATTAGAGTTGTAATTAATACCAAAGGAGACTTGCGGATCAGAAGAATTTCGTGTAAATGCCACATTTTAAAAGAAATTGAAAAAAATCTATGTACTTAGATATTAAAAATTTCAACTGTGCCACAGTCGTACTGCAACCCGAGATCCCTTTACTGCTTCAGCTCCCCCGCCAACTTTCAAATCATAGTACCTACAAAACCGTATCTGTCAGAAAGTCGGGCAACTAGATATTTTTAGAATAATAAATTAAAATTTCATGAGCAATAATGCTAGCAGCTAACATGGATTCATAAATATAAAGTTTCGACTGTGATTCGAGGACTCTGTGCTTTTTATATTGACCATGATTTACACCAGATTTTAGGACACATGTTTAATTCCACAACTCTCGATACATACAGCAAGAATGAGCGAAAGGCGCATGCTATAATCTATACAGTTTTCACATCAAAATCCATAACAAAAAATGCACACGAAAACCTAAATAAGACAACATTTAAAACTGAACATAAGTAACTGCTTTTATCGTATACTAACTTTAGACCATTCGGGAGGGATGTAAATTCACTTTCAGGTATTTTGGCTCCTTTCAGCTGCAGCAGAGAAGAAATCGATAAAATAAAATAAGATATGTTCACATGTGATAACAATTAAATAAATAGATAATAATATTAATAGTAAAAACTTACAGCTCTTCTGCTTGCTGCATTAGCTGCTTCAGATAAGGAAATTCCAGCAGCTGATCAATCACACAAATACAATAGCTTCTCAATGAGTGTCAATTACATACAAAATAAAACCCGATATATACATATATATACCATGGTTATCATATCGCGTATCGTTTTCCTTCACATATCGTAGCGTGTCATTTATCTTATCTTATTGTAAGATATTTGATTAACTATTAAAAATAGTACAAAATATACATCACATAACAATAATACGATAAAAATGTAAAAATTAATATTTTAAAGCCAAACCATTCATTCAAAATAGATCTAAATTCAAGTTTCAACATTAAATTATTGATTAGGACAAAAGTCATAGTTTTTAGAAATGCTAGTTTCGGTTATTACGTTTGCTAACATAAATTGCTTTTATCTGAAGCATTTTTTTTGTGGTTTTGCCTTAATTAAAAAAAAAAACAAAAAACATGATTGTTATAAACAAAATGTGCTGAAAATTGCACAAATCACCCCCCAAATATGCTGGAAATCGCACAAATTAGTAAATTACTCCAAAAGATGTTGAAAGTCGCACAAATCACCCCTAACCGTGTTGAAAATTGCACAAATTATCCCTAAATGTGCTGAAAATCGCACAAATCACCCTAAAAACAAATCTCGTAACTATCGCACCGTATCGAATATCGTATCTTAGCGCGGTATCGAGCGATATTTAGCAGTATTTGATTACAATCGATATATGTGCCGAGTTGTATCGTTTCCACAGAAATTGTATCGTGTGGCGATATAACGCGATACTGACTACACTGAGATATACTAATTAACCTTGAAGCAGGACTAGTTTCGATAACTTCCGAAAATCAAGACAAACACCCTAGGGCTTGTGTCAATTTGAGCACGAAATTGAACAAAGTATTTGCTGAATCCAACGGTTGAAAAACTAACCCTAGCTGAAAATCAATTAAGGAAATACAACACAACTAACCTGCAGAAAGGAGAAAACCCATAAATGCCCTCCTTCCTTCAATCGGCAACGACAATTTCTGTACGGATCTGTCTAACGATGACGATGACGATGAAGATGAAGAACAACGGCAGCGCAATAACGATGCATTCCTGTATGTATGTCTCTTTCCTGTTGTGATGAAAATTGTGAATACTTAAAAAAAAAAAAAAAAAAAAAAAAAAAAAAAGCGATTGAAAAATGCAAGTAATAAAGGGGGAGGCGGCGGCGCACCTGTGGCTGCGGCGGAGAGAGAGTGGTGGAAGAAGGTGGGCTTGAGTGGGTGGTCTAAGAGAGAGAGTTCCATTTTTGGTTTCTCTCAGCTCAGCAGCTTCACAGTTGAGGAGGGAAACCCAATCGGTTTACGCGAGTGAAGCGGATAATATTATGAATACCGGCCACAATTTCACTTTTCAAATTATTAAGGGTAAATTACCAAAAAAACCCTGTTAGACTTAATAACGAAAAATACCCCCCCCCATGTCCGTAATAACCAAAACCCCCATTTGATTAAATGTTGACCCCGAGTTTTTTTAACAGAAAATGTGTGAAAAGACACACGATAAGGGATTGGTGTAAGATGGAAACATATCTCAGGGAGTTTTCAATAATTATGAATATTTGAAGGTGATTTTTGTAATTTAATTTAAGTTTAGGAGGGGGCGGCTTCGTAATTTACCCAATGAATAATTCAAAGGTTTTTTTCTTTTATTTTTTTGGAAATTGACCACTGTCACTCGAAGCGCATGACATAAACTCCGCACATTTTGGTAATAGCTTGCAAATTGCACAATTGCACGAGAGATAAGTTAACAGGACTAATAATGCGTGACAAACTCAATCTAGAAAATAGTGACGTTGAGATTCGAATCAGGTCAAAGCTCCACCAATTAAAGTAATTTAATACTCCATCCGTCCCAATTTAAATGACGTTTTGGGTTGTTACACACATATTAAGAAAATCAATAAATGTGTATAGATTATAGTGAAAAACATAGGAAAATACTAATATATTCTTGACATTAATTATTTTACAACTAATAAATTAGAAGTGATAAAGGATAAAATTGAAAATAATGCAGTTACTGATGCATTGAAAATCTAAAATGACAAATAATTTAGACAAAAAAAACTCTCTAAAAAGACATATAATATGGGACAGAGGGAATATATCAATAGAATTATTGTAAACGAAAAAAACAAGAACATTAATTATCATAGTTTTTTTTTTTACATAATGTAAAAGTTTAACTTATTCTAATCGATTTACAAACATTGCATGACTTATTTATTGATCTCACCTTTTTTGCTTATCATCTATTCATCTTCGTGCTTAAATAGGTGTCGTTTTTCATCTTGGCATAAATCTTAAGAATCTCGATAAATATGTCTTAATTTTAGGAAAATAGATATTGATGGACCAAAATACATTTGTTTATTAATTAATGCAGGAAGAGTGTTATAGAGTTAATGATGGTAAAATTGAAAAATAAGCAATTAATGCAGCATTGGAATTGTAAAGTGACAGATAATACGGAACAAAAAAAATTCTCAAAAAAGACAGATATTATAGAACATAGGGAGTATTATATTTACATGCTTCATGCAGCAGCACATCTCAAATTAGTAGTGAAATACTCCTTCTGTTCCACAATAACTGTCTTTTTTTAAAAATATTTTTGTTCCATATTATCTGTCACTTTAGATTTCCAATACTGCATTAAATACATTTTTTTCATGTTTTAACCTTATTAATTCAACTATAAATATGAACTCTCTCTTATCACATCATTAAATAATCAAGGTTATTTTAGTCTTTCTAAAATATTTTACCGAAAATCAAGACACATTTATTGAGCTTCTTAATCCTTGTGCAAAGCCAAAAACGACACTTAATAGGGAACGGAGGGAGTACAAATTTAATCTCAAATTTAATCTTCATTTGGAGCTGAAGGGGCAATTTTTATTACAACTTAAATGGTCTTAAACAATGTATGGATAGTTATATGGAGTCATAATTCCCCCTTCAACCCCCAAAAATTCCAATTTATGCTTTGCTAATGATACACTCTTCTTCGGTGAAGCTATTGAGGCCGATTCCACCAACTTGAAATGTATCCTCGACAAATATGCACGGCCGTCGGGGCAGGAAATCAATTTTGATAATTCTACTATAATTTGCAGCCCCTCAACTTTATCGAAAAAGAAAAATAATATTCATGCATGAGATTCCGAGTATTCAGGTAATTGGTTGAGATGACAAATACTTAGGCATGCCACCATCGATCCATGCTATCTCGCGGATTGTATTTCACAATCAATATATTAGGGTTTTTAGTAAATTTAAAGCGATAAATATATTTTTTGCTAACAAGATGAAAATTTCGATTATTTGGGTTTATTAACAATTTACCCTTTACTTTTTGTAGCTATAAATCGTTCACAAATTTAACTTTGACAATCAAACTAAAAGCGATTATGAAGTATTGGAATGGGCTTCAAGAACTTACTAATCACGATTACCCAATTCGGGTTGCTTTTGGGTTTATCCATTGTGGGCTCTTAAAATCAAGTCTCGTTAGAATAATACTGAAAAATAATAATAATAATAATAATAATAAAAGAAAATATTAAAAAAATTTGAAGAAGCTTTCTACCACTTTATATATTCAACTCAAACGTAAAAGAAAAAAGTAGATACCACTCAATACTCCACTTCATATGCAGGAAATTTGAAAATACTCAAGTGCTTTAAGAAAGTAGATGTTTAATTTAATGAATTCTCCACCACTAAGTCATAGTCATGCTGGATTTGTTTAATTTAATACGTGTGATTAATTTACTCTGCGATTTTGTCCTCTTGTTTGATATAGGAGTATATGTTAAATCTATATCATCAAAAGATTTCAGTGCGCCCAAATAAGAATTTAGAGTAAAAAAACTCAACATAAATGTGATGAAATTCAATACAAATAGACAAATAGTTGTTAGGTACCTATAATCTCTGTCTATTATAGGTACACCAATGCTAGATTTCTTTGTATAGTCATTATCGGTATGCTGTACCTATAAATTATAATCTCTGTCTTATATATATATATATATATTAGGAAACCTAAAAAATTCTAATGACATTATTGTAATTGTTTTTTTAATTTATTACTAATTTTGAGAATTTTCAGCCATTTTTTAATTTTTGATATTATCGTTCGCATTTGTATTATACGTTAATAATAACAAATAAACAAAACTCACGAGCGAGCTGAGAAATTTAATTTTTGAATTTTAAATATTATTGCTCGTATATTTGTTATACATTAATAATAATGAACAAACGAAATTTAGGAGCGAACTCACGAGCTCTTGAACTATTACCAAGTAAGCACGTTTTTTTTTATTACAATTGTTGTTGTCACATTTAAACAATTTTATTTCTTTGAAATGATAACTCATGCATGCATGGCAAAGGAAGAAATACTATTTTAAGAAAAAAGAACATAAAATGGAAAAACTATTTCCCGGTCTAGAGAAGGTAAGCAATTCTAAATTGATGTGACTTGTCGTTAGGGTTGTAAACGAATTCGATCTAGCCAAAGGTATATATAACAAAAAAAAAAAAAATTGACTTTTTCGGATATTTATTTGCGTTTCAACTTGGTTAGATATGCACGCAATTGGTCAAATTTGAACAAGTTTGGCGTAGTGGTCGGAGGAAGTAAGCATTTGTCAATTGACCCAAATTCGAATTATTTTGTCAACGGTCGTTAGATCGAGCTTGTCACACATAGTTAATATAATATAGTTCAAAACATAATAAATCATTCACGATGCACCCTTAATTGAATAATAAATGATAATTTATTTTTTTTATTGTATTTTGAGGGAGAAAAGTGCCATTATTGTTTTTTAACGGTGCAAAGTGCAAAAGTGGTGAATTTCAAGAATGAAAAGGGGGATTAAGCCTTTTAATTCTGCAATTGAACATAATCTCGAGTCAGTCGAACTTTGTATCTTATCGAATAAATATATGCGTTCAAGAATAATTCGTTATGTCAATGAATTAATCGTATTCGATTGTTTAAAAATTAATCTACGATAGAGTACCAACTAGTTTATTTGGTTTTCTCCCAAAATAATAAATGATTTTATAAGAAATTAAACGTTCAAATCACATCCTTTCAATAATTTTGGTCCTATATAATGATCTGACTTTAATTAATGGTAATATTTAATACTTGTTTATTTATTGTATGCAAACGGACAACTATTATTAGTCAAGTAGAATCTCAAATTATCTCAAGATTCGTTATTACTTATTAGTCACTATTTCATAATGTATTCGATCAAGGTAACCAACACCTACATTGTAATATATTATTTTTGCAAATCGAATAAATGTACTTAGAATTCAAGGACTTAGGTCACGTCTCAGCAATTTCAAATACGAGTGGCATTTGTTACTATAGGCTCAAGCTGAAATATTATCGAATTTCATAGTTGTTTGCTCGACCTAGATTCACGTATTATTTTCGGATCACTAGGTTATATCACACATATAATAAACTACTAATCGTAATGTATTTTTACTCACTTCAGAAAAATTCAAATACAAATAAATACACGAAGATTACAACTACATGTTTAACTTGACAATTAGTTGGAATAACGAACTCTCTCCATTATTATGGAGGAGGAGAAGAAGCAAATCTACTAGCCCAAACATATAATTTCATAATTTAATCGGGTTTAATAAAAAAATTCAAACTCTATCGGGCTTGCAATTATTTAAACTCGAGTCATATATAATTTGGCCAAGCCATACATCATTTTCAAAGTGTTGCGATTTACAGAAAAAATATATCAAACTTTTAAGATTTTAGTAGTGACAATTTTGTAATCGTAATTGTGAAAATTGAAAAAGAAAATGTCAATAATTAGATCTTATATCTTAATTATAATTTGGTCTCTCCTTATTCTTTTAAGATTAGCTTATAACATATGTAGCACAAAAATTTTAACTTTTTAACGTTTTCGTGTTTTGGAAACTTGAAGACACATGCCAGACACTTTATGAGTTATTTTACAAGTTCTAATAAGTTAGAAACATGTTTGAATAGAAATTTTTTAAATATTTCTTGTTTCCTAAATTATTTACATGATTTAGTAATCAGTTGCAAATTTGCAAATTAATAGTTGATGGAAACATTTATTTTTTGCATATATTAATATAAAAAATGTATATATATATATATATATATATATATGTATATATATATATATATATATATATATATATATATATATATCCCTATACTTCTAATATTTACACGTTTCCCCCAAGTTTTCATATCCCAGTTTTCGGAACATGTCGTTTCCCTGTATCCGTTT